TGAATTTTTTAGTATTAAATATACGCCAAATGAAGAAATAGGATTATTCGTCGCAAGGATAAGAATGACTGCAAAGAAGTTGGCTGAAGCTGGTCACAACTTGACAGATCTTTTTAAAGGATTTCAGGCAATAAGGAGATTACCCCCGAAATATTTTGGCATTGTACAATTGATCTATAGGTGGAAGGACGAAGATTTTACGCTGGAAAGAATTGCTGAAGAGCTGGTAAGGGAAGAAAGCCGACTTCGCCAGTTAAACGCCGATTTAGAAGACAGCAAGGTAAGCGTGTTTAATACTATTAGTTTAAACACAGGGAAAGATAAAGTTGAAAATAAAACTAAATCTAAGAAAAAATGGGGAATATGAGAATAGGACCTTGTTTTAGATGTCATAAATCTGGGCACTTAATTGCTCAATGTAAGTAAAAATCAGAAGTTTAAAATAGACGATAAAAGTGGACAGTTTAAAGATAAAGAATTAATGTCAGTAGAAAATTATGTAACAACTACAGATAAAGGAGGTAACGCAGATAAATTTAATTGGGTCGTAGATACTGCAGCTACAACTCATTTCTGTAATAATAGAAATTTAATGACAAATTTCGAAGAAATAAACGATATACGTATGTCTTTAGCTGTAGGAAATTGTGAAAGTAAAGTACTAGGAAAGGGTACTGTCAAATTTGCAGTAAAAGTAGGCAATCGAATAAATTGGATTGAGTTAGATAATGTGTTATATAATCCAAATCTAAGAAGAAATTTATTATCGGGAGCAAGGTTAGAAAAGGCTGGTGCTCATTTTGTGATTTCAAAAGGGAAGATGTGGATATACTTTAATAATTGGGATAGATTATGCTACGCTAAACGATATGACGGACTTTATCACGTAAAAACCATTTAGATATGCAACAGGTAAAAGGGAAGCTGGTTACGGTACAGAAATTGGAAAGTTAAATAAAGTAGACGATGCAATGCTATGGCATCGGAGATTTAGCCACGTAAATTTTGATTATATTAAGAAAACTAGTAAGAATCAAACAAAGCGTGAAAGGGTTACCAGAAATTGAAAAACCAATAGAGAGGTGTAAATCGTGTATTATTGCTAAATCTAGTAGAATAACTTTTAAAACTATTCCGAAGAGATCGGATAAACCATTGCAGTTGGTTTATTTAGACGTTTGTGGCCCACTACCAGTTCCATCTAAGGGTGGGAGTAAATATTTTCTTGCTATTGTAGATGACTATAGTAGATTAGTAACAGTGTATTGTATGAAAAATAAAAACGAATCGTTCTACAACTTTAAGAATTATCATAGGCAAATGGAAAGACTGACGAATAGAAAATTAATAAGTATACGCACCGATAATGGTGGGGAATTCTGTAACAGGCAATTCGAAGGGTACTTAGCCGAAAATGGAATTAGTGTGTTGAACGCACGAAACGCGTACACCCCAGAAGAGAACGGTGTGTGTGTGTGAACGTTTTAACCGAACGGCATTAGACGCAGTTAAAGCTATGCTTAATGATGGTAAAATGGGAAAAGAATGGTGGGCAGAAGCTCTTGGCTGTTTCGTACATACGTGGAACAGAGTATGTCATAAAAGCAACCGAACCCCTTATGAAATGTTCCTAAATAGAAAACCCAGTGTTGTTTATTTTAAAAGTATTTGGTTGTAAAGCCTATGTTGGCGTGCCAAAACAGATTAGGAAATAAATTACAAATGAGGTGCAAAGAAGGAATCATGGTAGGATATGCGAAGGAAACTAGGGGTTATAGGATATGGCTGCCAGAAGAACGCAGATTAATAGAAACCTGTAATGTGAAGTTCGATGAAAAACTGTATGCAGCAAATGGCATCCTGGAACAGAAATCAAAACCTAAATTTAAAAGACTAGAGGAATCTGAGCTATTAGCAGAATCAGATGAAGAACAGGAAATTTCTAGAGAAGAAATAAAGTTGTCAGATGACAAATCTACTCCGAAAGAAGTATCAGACTTAAACTGGCAAAGAAAAGCAGTTAAAAGGCCAGATGGAACACGTACAGACATATATTATTATGTAGAGGGAACAGACACCCGTTTTAGATCCTATAATGATATTGAAAAGTATTGTGAGGCAAGAAATATTAAATATGAAAAAGATAAGTTCGATTTTAGTGGAAAAAAACGAATACTCGGGGAAAGTTAATTTCGTAGAACAGGAGACTAGCTCTGTGTCTGAAGAGGCAAATTCCGTAGAAATAGTTATCCCACAAAATTTTAAAGAAGCACGAAAATCAGTAAATGCCGAAGAATGGGATAAGGCAATGAAAGAAGAAATTGACACAATGAAAAAAAGAAAGGTTTGGGAATTAGTCGAAAAGCCAGAAAATAAAACTATAATAGGAAACAAATGGGTCTATACGCTAAAAAGAAATGAAAAGAATCAAGAATCAAGTGGTTAGATACAAAGCACGCTTAGTAGCACAGGGATTCAGGCAGAAAAGAGGTGAAGATTTTGATGAACAGTCCTGTATTTTTTCATGATGACAGTTAGATGTAAAGAACGCATATTTATATGCAAAACCTAAATGAGAAAATATATATGACCCAACCAGAGGGATTTATCGAAGAGGAAAATAAAGTGTGTTTATTACACAAGGCCATTTACGGTCTACATCAAAGCGGCCGTGAATGGTTTTGTGAATTTGAAAGTACTTTAGAAAATCTACATTTTAAGAAAATACAATGGTGTAAATTGTGTTTATAAGGGTTCAAATGTAATTCTCTTGTTATATGTAGATGATATTGTGATTTTTAGTAAAGATCAATATAGTATAGATAAAGTAATTTCACAGCTGAGTAAGTTTTTTTGATCTTAAAGTATTAGGCAAAACTAAAACGTTACTTGGAATTGAATTCTTAGAGAATGAGAATGGGGTTTTTATACATCAGCAAAAATATATCGAAGAAATTTTTGAAAAATTTAAACATTTCCAGATACCAATAACTTCACTTCCCATAGCTAAGGGCACTATTCTTACAAAATTAGATTGTCCATCTACAAGTGCAGAAATTGCGGAAATGCATACATTACCCTTTAGAAATCTGTTAGGATGTTTAGTTTTTGTGTAGCTAACAGGACAAGGCCTGATATTACATATGCAGTGAATATCTTATCACAATTTCAGGAGAATCCTGGAATTAGGCATTGGGAAGCATTGTTGAAATTGCTTGGTTATCTCAATAGTACTAAATTATATAAGTTAAACTTATCGAAGATTAAACATCTAAATTTATATTGTTATTCAGATGCTGATTATGCAAGTAATAGAGATGACCGCGCGTGTCCATGGGAGGATTTATATTATATTTAGATGAAGAAGTACCGGTAATCTGGAAAACTGTTAAACAAAAATGTGTAAGTTTATCAACCATGGAAGCGGAGTATATCATCTTATCTGAAGCAGCGAAGGAATTAATGTGGACAAAAAATGTCTTACAAGATGAAATTTTAAAGTTTAATTTAAGAGAGTGTAAACTATTTTGTGATAACAAGTCTGCCATTGATTTTTCTAGATCGCCAATAGAAAATCGCCGAACTAAGCACATAGACGTAAAATATCACTTTGTTAGAAGACTAGTAAATGATGGAGTGTTTGACCTTGAATTTATCACCAGTAAATTAAATACTGCCGACTTATTTACAAAAGCAGCGACTGCTGTTAATTTAAGAAAGTTTTGTTTAGATGTTTTCAGTGTTTAAAGACAATAAGTGTTTTCGTATAATAGAATTGAACTATGAACTTCTGTGAAAGTTTTGTTTTTGTCTTTGCATGGGAAAAAGGGGCCGTTTGTTGGCTTTAGTTTTCCACATGCAAATTTTGATCGGAGGTCGAATCGGTAACGGTAAGCTAACGGTTGCCGCCGATTGGTCGATGACGTCAAGATCGGCGGGTTGGCCGAGTATATATATATATGTACGCCGGTATCGGCGAATGTTCTTGTTCTCTTGTGTGATTATCAGTTAGCATTATGCTAGTTTGCTTTCAATCAAATGATTTTAAATGTAAAGGCTACAGTGTTAGCTCTTTTATTTTATTTACGGAATAAAGCAAGAATTTTATTTAGTTTAGTCTTAGCTTTATTTAAGGGAAGCAAAAGATGCTTTGCCTTTATCACCACTGCCAACACTTTGCCATAAAGCTGTCCCCACCATTATAGCCTAATAACCTGAAGGCTGTGTCGCTGATTGTTTAAGCATGTTTATAGTAAATCTCTGACAACTATAAAACGTGATTTTGGAGATGTCTGGAATAATACTGGCCAATAAATTGTGTTTCAATACTCCATCAAGTACTATTCTTGTTATTCACTCCAAATCCACGAAATCGGAAACATACGTATGTGAAGAAAAAAATGTAACAACAGTATCCCCTCAACTTGTGCTGTGCAAGAGTAACATGGCTACCCAAAAGATGCAAAATCAGCAGTGAAGCATGAAAAAATTAAAATGAAAAGAGCAAAAATGTGATCCTTTGTGGGAAAGTATTCTCCACTTCATTTATGGCACTGATTTTGATTTAAGTTTAAAATGTGTTGAAAACACCAGTCATCACAGTATATTGAATATACTGTGATGAACAGTTATAGCAATTATATTGAATAATCAAAATATTGCTTACAGTAAGTTCTGCCATAATTTCTAAACAAGAGCTAGTCTTAAACAAACTGCATATTTAAATCCAGAAGGTGATATTTAGTAAGGAAAAATTTATTTCATCTCTGCAACAGAAAAATAAAGTGAAAATCTGCAGAGCAGTATTAACTGTAGTACTTATTCTTGTTTCAATGTACTGATCAAATGCATTAATACTGTGATCAACTTTTAAGCATTTTTATAGATATGATTCAGATTTGTGTTTTGAATACATACTGAATAAAATGATCTCTACAGATTTATTATGGGTAATGTATAATGAAAAGTCAGCAATACAAGTCTGTAAACAGACAATTTACCTTCAGCACACTGACAAATTCCACCTTCACATATTGTATGCAGCAGAGGACTGTTACTTGCAGGGCTGTAGAATACTGTGCATGAATAACCTGACACAAATAAAAAATTAGAATATACGAGAATAACAAATTTGAATTTCAAAATCAATTATAAAGTAACAAAAAATAAAATATTATGTCACTTTTGAAAGCAAAGCAATTTCGTTATTTAATTCATAAAAGGACCAAAGTTTAAAAATTGTTACTTGGGAAAAAAACTGCTTAAAATCATCTAAGTAGAGAGATATCATTACATTACTTATAAATCATGAAATGTATTACGGGTTAATCAAATTACCTGGACTATAGTAATCATACACTTTTATAACACTTGCTTGGGTACCTCCTACAGTAAACTGTCTAGTAACATGGAAGCTGAAGCAGTATTTGTTATCTCTAGGAACCTGAAGATAAACAAAAGAAAGACATCAGTATCCTTCAAATATGTTTTTCATTTTCAAGACAACACATATTTTATGCAATCAATGTGACTGTAATATGTGTTGTACCACAAAATGATACACATTGAAATTCTTCAAAAATGTTTTTCATTTTACATTATAATACACATCATATTCAAACTAGTGAGAGACTTGTTTTGCATTTTTAATCTAACGCAAATTTTAAAAATGCTGTAAGGCATTTAATGTTAATTAATCATTTTTTTATGATTTGAACCTTTATTGTATCTTCTGCTTTCTGTTAGCCTCCACAGAAATACAAATTAGATTAAAGAGATTTAAGATGAAGATTTTGAATGTTGTAAAGATAAAGCTTTTGGTAGATGCTAGATGATGATTTTAAATACCTACAGGTGGCCGAATTTTGTTTAAATTCAAGTTATATAATTTAATAAGACATGGTTTTATTTACATAAGACAAAGTCTTAACTCATTTTTCAGTCTACTAGGGTCTGAAGGACATTTGAATTAAATTTCCAAAATTAGGTTAATATAAGTGGTATTTAAGATAAGCTAAGAAATGAATACAAACAAACGTGCAGCCCTTCCAATACACTGGTGTGCAAAAATTAAGGACGAGACGGTTTTTTCAATATAACTTTGTACAAAAGCTTTCCAAATCAACACATTTAATACTGTAAGATCCCCAATACGTAAGGACATGAGTAATGTAAGCAACACTTACTAAAAGAGAAATCAGAGGGATAAAAAGAAGCTTTATTGAAAAAGTAGCATGGAGCGCAATGCGACTGAAGGCCAAAACATCCCTGTGATGGGTGTCCAGCAAGAAACATCCGGTCTTTAACCCCTTCAAGCCGGGTAGCGAAAACGCGCGCTTATCGAGGAGGCCGGCAGTGTCTTCCGCGAGCGTCTCTCCAGGGCTGGGGGCTTTTTTGCTACTAAGCCTAAATCCATGAAATTTCTGAAGTATCAGAGCATTGTTTAATAATGCTCTATAGAGTATTTAAACGGCTTATGCTTTATAATTATATATATATACTTTAATTACCTTATTTCTTGTTTAAAATGCATATTTTACACATTTTATTTTAATTACTCACCATTTATGACCTTTTAACATATACATCTGAAAACTAAATATATTACTTAAAAATTCTCTTTTCGTATGAAAAATTTTAAAACAGGGATCTACACACAGTCCTACGTTACATTCCTTGAACTCGTAATAACTCATTTGCCGTTTTGGAGGATTTTCCCAAGGATGTGAACAAACGAAGCATTGTCGTCTCATTTTCTTATCAGTCTCTTCTGAACAAAGTTTTGGAAAATGTCTTTCAGTTAATCTTTCAGAATCAATATCAGAATATCAGAATTTCAGAATCAATATCTGAAATATTTTGCATCATTTCTGCTATTTTTCATGCTCTGTTAAACATTTTCGACGCTTCGACATTGAAACGGTAAAAAACAGAAAGAATTCACATCTAACAAGATCTAATTATTTTCTAAAAACTGAACTGTAAAACGGAAATACTCAACGCTTTTTGCGCATATAAAACTCTACTTGCAATAAACACTACCACGTGCGAATAAAGTGCAATTTAAAGAGACGTCATAAATCACGCCATTCGAACATTTAGTTCCCAGTTTGTTTATATAATCAAAAACACGTGCATGTGAGTCATGCTTCTCTCATTTCGAGTAGAAGGTCTAATGTACATGTATCTGAAACCATATGGACATACAGTGCTATCTTGTGGCAGAAATTATAGTTTGAAAAACGTTCCAAGGTACTGGCACAAATACGTGACAGTCGGTAGAAAACGCAACAATCCTCTGGCACGCCTGCGTGTCGGCCGGTAGATAAGTGTGTTCGCTGCTGGCACATATACGTGACAGTCGGCGCGAAGGGGTTAATAGGGGATATGATCTCCCCTGACTGCTAGGCAGGTTTCACAGTGTCTGCCCATGCTGCGAATGAGGGTGTCAATGAGTTGTTGAGGCATTGCTGCCCATTCGTCTTGCAGCTCCAATCGAAGCTCCGGAATCGTTACTGGTGGTAAGGTACGAGCTGCCAAGCGTCTGCCTAGAAAATCCCATACATGCTCGATGGGATTGAGATCCGGAGATCGTGCCGGCCAATCCATACGTTCAATATCCTCACTCTCTAAGAGCTGTTCGGCAACTACTGTGCGATGACATGGTGCATTGTCGTCCATGAAAAGGAACTGCGGACCCACAGCGCCTCTAAAAAGACGCACATATGGAAGAAGAATCTCGTTACAATAACGGGTCCTGTTGAACTGAACCTGCGTCGAAGATGTGAAGGTCTGTACGACTACCAAGCATGATGCCTTCCCAAACGAGAACACCCGCCACCCTCCATACCTATCCCTTTCAATGATGTTCGAGGGGATGATTGCAGCTTCCCCCCGCTCTCCAGATGAGTATGCGATGAGAATCGCTACTCAGACTGAATCTGCTCTCATCTGTAAAGAGTACTCGTCTCCATTCATTGTTCTCTCCAATTCCGGTGTTCCCCCCGCACCACAGAGAACGCCTTTTCCAATGGGCAGGCGTTAGAGGTACACACGTACAGGGCGTCGTGCAAACAGACCACCACACCGTGCAGTCTTCTGGCCACGGTAAAAACGTGATATCGGTCGTTCAGTCGCCTGTGTCGTGTGTCTAGCGATTTCTCCCGCTGTCTGCCGCCTGTTTCTTCTGGCCTGTAAGGCAATATACCAGTGATCTGCTGGTGTGGTTCCTCATGGACGACCACTACTAAACCCCCGGATAGCTGTTCCTGTAGTTTGAAATTGTCTCCAAAGTCGTGAAACGATGCTGTGAGCAATTCCGAACTCTGCAGCCACACTTGTCACACTGCGGCCTTCCTCCAACTTCCCAATGATTCGACCTCGGGTAAAAGCATCCAGATGTCGTCTAACAGATTGATTATTCGCCATTTCTCGCTGAGGCAGCAACTCGGTGTGATTTTAACTGCTATACGGCGTACAATCTCTTTGCCAGAAATACTGATCTTTCACCGACAACATGCTTTATACTACTCAGACACTCCCCCATTACGTCTACCTTGTGGTGTAGTGGCCGAAACCGCTATGCAAACCTGGGTTGTGACATCAGGTTCAAAAAAAAAAACACAGCATAAAAATTTTATTGAACGCAAAAAAAATGGCTACATACAATTCTGCAGAGAAAAACCTATCTATTTCAAAAAATCAAATTCTATACATTTTTACGTGCGAGAGCATTCGTTTCGTGGCTCTCGAGCTTGCATTTTTTAACATTGCCAACGATTTAATTATTTTAATAAAGACTATTTTAATAACTATTGAAAACGTATTTGTAAGTTAAAAAAATAACAATTTTCAGCTTATGCTCACGAGACATCCTTGTCCATATAAATCTTCAGTCTCTTCTTCTTTTATGTAACCTTATCACAGTATCACCTGTATATCTGCGCATGTGCTACCGTACATCACCTTACTTAATCTCCTGATTGGTCTTTCTGTCCGCTCTGCCTCTTCGTTCAGCTGATATGCTAATTTTCAACTTCGTCCTTAATTTTTGCACACCAGTGTATATAACACTTTGCAATAAAATAACTTAAGCAGGATCAACAGTTTATGCAGGACAGGAGCTGAAAGCCATCTTGAACATTATCCATATCATGCATTTCGGCACAATAAGCAAAAGAAAACAAATTATTATTTTATTATGTCCGCTTACTTTATGTACTCATGTTATTTGTAAGTGTTATCTCTCAGGTACACAGCAAGTGACAGAATGTATAAACCTGATAGTCTTTATCTTACACTAAAAATTCCAAAGTAATTTAAGAAGAAACTAAAAATTAATCAATTGTTTTTAAACTGCAAAAATCATCATTTAAAGATTAAAGTCCAGATTTTATTTCCAGTAGGAGCAAAATCTCCACATATTGCACATTCTATAATATAATATATATGATGATGCAGATTTTGAAGGAAAGATGAAACCCAAATCACACTTTAGTCATGGCTGAGAAGACTGTTTCTTAGGGTTGGTGTGCAAATCACAACTTGCTTGCTGGTTAAAACAACATTTTCATTTTTTACAGGAACAACTACTCAGAAGTATACTTCTGGTTAAAACTGATACAACACTAGGGGTGTTAAACATGATCCAAATTTTGATATACATTCTTTACATTTTAGACAATGAAGAAGATGAAGCCAGAGACATGGTTTACTCAGGCAACTGCAAGCATGAAAAAGAAGTGCATAGGTAGATCGGCATTCATAGCAGAAGTCTAGGGCCTCTAGTGTCCTTTACTCTCTTAATTCTCTTTTCCCCTTGGACTTTCATTGCTGGTCATATACCCCAGATATGACGGAAAAAGTTTAATGGTAGAAGCAATTATCTCGTAAGTCTACCATTTCTATGTGGGTGAGCAATTCTCTTTAATACCATGTCGTACTGGAGGTAAAAACATCTAGTAGATACAAAGTTCTTGCATTATGCAGTAAATGCGAGATATGAGAACAATAAAAACATAAAAATATTTACAAGTCATTTAACTTGAGTAGTAGCAATAAATTTGAGAATGTGCATAAAGATTACAAAGAATCTTCTAAAAGTCTCAAAATAAAAAGGAAAAGTAGCTATGTTGAAAACGTATGTATAAGTCCCAGTTAATTATATTTCCCAGTTCGATGCAATCACATAAAATGTAGCAATAGTTGCTGACTAAGTCCACTTGGCTGTTGAACACTATAAGAAAGTTGCAAAGCAAGTTATATCAAAAACTGAATTGCCTCTAGGGCAAAGTCTATTTTATCATTCTTATTCTGAATACTTTTATAGTTGTTATAAGGTCCTTTTAACTTGAAGAAACATTTTTAGTGCTATAAGCACTTTCCTTTTTTTATTAAGAGTGGTATCTTTATTCCCAGGTCTCTTGGGACATTTGACACTGGTGGCCGCGTGGGGACCAGCACAGAGAACACATTTTACTCTGCTCTTTACCTTTAATCAGGCATTCAAATGATTTGTGAGAGTTGAGACATCTCATGCATCTGGGTTTATTGAAGCAAACTTGCTGAGTGTGCGTCAGGCCAGGAAAACTGCAATCTTTATACCTAAAACATGTTTAAAATGATATTTTTTTTTTTGCGTTCTGCATTTCTAAAAGTTACACCATAGTTGAGAATTCCATCTCTCATAGATTCTCATATATTCCTTCAACAATTAAAAAGACTAATTGATACAGTACCATATTCTGATACCAATGTGATGTGCATATCTTGGATTAGTAAATTCAAGGTAGGCCATTAAAACCAATATTATCTAGCTGTGTGCTCCTCGTTGGATTGGGGGGGTGACTATCGGACTGGTAGCAATACTGCATTGATACCAACAGATAATATATAGAATTGCAACTCTAAATACATTCTCAATTCTTCAGTAGTTCCACTGTTATTGCATTAAATAGATCAATGCTGATTTAGATAACGTGGGCTTCAGTCATAAAATTATTTAAATTCTTATTTCAAGTTGTCTAATACTCAAACATATCAAACAAAATTAGTAAATGCAAAAAAAAAAAAAAAAAAAAAAAGGAAACACTGAAATTAATAAATATGATAATGACAATATAAAATCATTATTTTCGGCACATACCCATAAATATTTTCTTAAACCAATCATTGTTAAAGCAACAGCAAAATAATAAAAATGTGGCTTGAGACAGCTAAGTTAATAACTTACCGTCTGTAAATAAAATACTATTCCTCTCTTACTCTTCTCATATCTTTGAATCATACCATCTGCACTGTTCTGCAACTGCAATTTAAAATGAAATATTTTTTAAATCCAGATAATTTTCTTGAATATGAAAATATGGAGGGCAAAAGATGAAATATATTATGCTTTTCACTTCATAATACTCAATCTATATATTATACAGATTTAGTATTTATACTCTTTTTTTTTTTTTTGAAATAATTATTCAAAGAAAGAATTTAAATGATTAGAAGTATAACAGTGGACTGCTAATAATGTAGTAAAAATTAAAAGTTCAATTGCATACGCAACTCAGAATATGCTCAATGTCAGCTGAAAGTGGATGTGACAGATTAAATGCAATATTGTAAAAAGCAAATCCTAATCAATGCATCAGTGCATTCAATTGTAATTACTAAGTAAACATGCAGAAACCTTCTTCAGTGTAAAATATAGCACTATAAACAAATGATGGGCTATCAGATTATTAAACTAAAAGACAGTGGTTTGATGTGCAGTGAAATTATGTGTTTAGTGAAACTTCAAGTAGTCTAATACTCAAGGATACAGTGGAAAAAAGTTCAAAGCATTCATAAGAGAGATCTGAAGTACTTACATCTACAACAGAACAGTAAGGCAAATATTTGTTATGCATGGCAATGATGAAGCATGCCATAAATCCACAATCTTATTACAGTTATGGAGGACAAATATCACATCCCTTGATGCCGACCAGTACGAATACTACTGGATGTCTCACAAGAATGTTGATTTTGCTTTCAGAATATGTAGCAAAAGTACAGAACCCATTTTTGAGGATTATTCAAATTATGGATTATTTGATAAAATGAATGCTTCTTGTGATATTATTGTGACAAATGTTACCACATGTATACTACTACATACATACATTGCTACATATGATGAATTAATTCTCTATGTGATGAAAAAGTAAGTATCACAGTGATTTACTAAATGTTTTTGTTCAGAAATACATAGTTTTTTAAAATTAAAATGTATGTGAAATACAATGAGTGCTATGATTCATAAATTACAACAAACTGAATTGAAAATAAAATTTACAACAAGAATAAAAATAGAAGAAAAAATTGTAAAAATGTGGGAGAGTTTAGCAAACTTTGCCACGTAGTTGTTGTTCATTCAACATTAAGAGATTTTAGTATTATTATTTAAACAAAAGAGGTGGAATAGAACAAAAAATTTCCCTTTATCCCATTAATTTTATTTTTATTTTATTTTGATAAAAAAATTGAGTCTAATATTTATTTTTAGTTTGAAATTCATTCAGGTTACTTTCTATTTTTCAGTATTATTAAACCAAATAATTGTTAATTTAAGATTTATAAAAATGCTTTTATTCTTATGGATATAACGCCTGTCATTATTCAGATGAAAGGCTGAGAATATCATATACATAAAATTCAGAGTGTGAAGTTATTATTATTATTTTTAAATAGCAATATAATTAGAAAGTTTTTGGTAGCATGCTTTTCAATGAATAATATTAATGCAAAGCATTTTCCATGAAAAGCAAGACAGAAAATATGAATAATTCTAACATACCCATTGACTTTGGAACAATTACTGCTAAAACATAAAATTATTTAAATTATTAATTGAAATGTTATTTTATATATTATTGTTCACAATTGCTGCAGCAGTTTATAACTTTGTAAATCTTCACATAAGTACGTATTAAAATTTAATTTTCTTTACCAATTCAAGGTCTCGTTCTTCTGGCTCAAATCCAGAAAATAATCCAACATCTACTATACTCATTTCTGCAGTTTTGTCACCCAAGTACCTAATAAAATAAAAGTTTGCACAAAGGCATTCATATGTTTTAATTAAAATATTTCAAATGATAAACCTATCTATAAAAAGATAATCAGCTACAAATAAACTGTTTAAAATAAATTATTTGAAAATTATTAATAAATAATACCATACAAGCTCTGAAGCATATTCTATTATTAACTAAAAGTAACCATGGTTATATCAATACAAATATAATACAGTCAAAAGTCGTTAATTCGGAAACCCATAATCCGGAATGATCTATAATCCGGACCTCAAAGCTAAAAACTTTCTGTGCATGCGGCGCGTTGACACATGCGCATAGGCATTTACGCATGCGCGTAAGACCTTTACGACTGCGCATATTCGTGTGCGCAAGTGCAGAATACGTTTTCGCGTGCGCGTTTAATGTATAACGGACGGTATGAGCTAAAATTATCTAATTATCTATTTCAGTTAATGTTGATGATTGCGTTGTTCCTTAATCTTAGAACTGGATCCGGCTTATTACTTTTTTCAGACTGTAAAAGCAATTTTATAAAAGTAAACTTGAACTTTCGATTATGTGAAATAAAATTTCCGATGCTGGAGCTCCCAAAGGATCTATAAAACAAAAGTACGTTTCGATGTCCATCAGACAAAAAGTGGAATTGCTGCAAAAAATGGATAAAGACATGAAGAAGGTGACAGAGAGGTTAGTGAAAACGAAAACATTTCGATTGACAAGTTAGTCGGTATTCTCGGCACAGCAATTACGGGACTTGAACAGTGGAACAAGAAATTATGTCTGCTTATAGAATTAAAGAGAAAGTATTATCACATAAAACGAAGCAACTTAAACAACTTACATTGAAAGAAATGTTTAATAAAGTAAACAAATAAATATTAAGCTTTCTTTTTTTTTTTTTTTTTTTTTTTTTTTGTAAATTTTGATACCCTTTAGATCATAATTGTTCTTTATTTCATAAATTACGGTTTCATATTTTTAATTTTAGAATTTCTGCATGCCATCTTACGAGATTTAAACTGATGATCTATAATCCGGAAAAATCGATAATCCGGAATCGCCAAAGTCCCGACGAGTCCGGATTAACGACTTTTGACTGTAAATGGAAAAATGGATATAAAATCCTTTAAAAATTAATGTAGACTTGCAGATGGAGAATAAGTTTCAAAAAATATATCTAGATTATAAAAGATTTTTTTATAGTTTCCTTTGCCTATAAGTAAAAATTAAAATCATGCAAAATGGCACCAATAAATAAAATGGGTAACTGCATAAGGTTTTCTTCAGCATTGCTACATATATGTGTGTGTATGTATGTGCACAAAGAGAGAGAGAGTGATAATGATTCTAAAATATTAAAATAACTGGCAAACTGTTAGGTACTAAAATAAGCAGATTTTGCAACAAAATGTATTACAAAATATATTTATTTTAGTCCTCTCTACCTCCATTTTTACCAGATATTTTAGACATCTTGTAGGTATATACATACAGTCAAACCTCATTACAACAAATAAACTTTTTGATCCAGCAAATTTCCTATATACTTAATATTATTTTATATTGTCATGAAGGTTGCTATTTATATTTCTGGCCTTGGTGACAATAAGTGTTGCTAGGTGACTGCAGATGATGCCAATCGAAAGTTTGATATTTTTTAACCATAACTTCTTCAGAACGTTTTGTGATTTTAGCGTGATTTGTATTATTTACAGTAAATTGAAAAATTCATCTCAGGCAAAAAATGGCACTCACTTGTAAACATTTTTCATAACTTTCAAAGTGGATTATTAAGACGATGATTAACTGCTTCAATACAATTAATTCTTTATACAGTGATAAGCACCATCCTACTGCTCTGTAAAAAACTGGTATAAAAATTCATCAACATACACATACATACACTCCAAGACATACACTCCAAGACGAATTCTGTGAAGGTTGTGCAAAATCGGTTGTTGTGTAAGAAAATATTGATGCTGTGCGTGAAATGATAATGCAAGATCATCATGTTACATACTGTGAGAATGAGGCATCTTCGGGCATTAGTATGACAAGCATCAATAAGATATTACATGAAACTTTTAACCTTAAAAAAGATTTGTTCGCCCTGAATACCGCATAATCTGACAAATGCTTGTGTCGATTGGTGCAAGGAAATGTTAGAAAAATGCATTCAAGATGCATCAAAAACGGTGTATAACATCTACACATGTGATGAATCATGGATCTATGCATATGAGCCTGAAACAAAACAACAGTCGACTGTATGGATTTTCCAAGACGAGCCAAATCCAACAAAAGTTGTTCACAGAAGAAGCACATCGAAGTGGTGTCCGCCGAAAACATCGCGGCAAAAACATTGCGGAGAAAACAACGCAAGGCGAAAATGTTGTGGTACAAAACATCATGAGAGAAAATAAAGCAAAGAGAAAACTTCACAATTCCTAAAACATCGTGGCACAAAACAACGTCGTCGAAAATAAAGCGGTTAAAAAACTTCGCAGTTTAAAAACATCGTTGACGAAAATGTCATGGTAAAAAATAAAGTACCTACAAATCATCGTATGACAAAAACATTGCAGACATACATTTTTCAGGCTTTAATAACTGTAAAATTTAATAATTGTAAAAACTCGCATAATGGTTTGTGAGCGCAAGATGTAAAGAAAGATAACTTTTACTTTCATAATTTTTATTAAATAATACATATTTGCTGAAAATGTAAAATGGGAACTTAAGTATAGAAAATTAACGCAATTTAATTTAATTTGTAACTGACATAGTTAACTAACAAAGGTTATTAATAAAATATTTTTATAAATTTTATTGGCAATTTTTCATGAAACGTATTATCTAAAAAAGAATAGAAAAATAAAGATAAGTAAAAAATTGCTAATTATGAGATAATTTTCTTCACTTTTATTAATCTGACACTCTTATAATGAAAATGACTTCTTGCTTTATTTCAATTTCTTGTTTTGCTTTTTTAAAAATGTATTATTTAATAAAATTATGAATGTGAAAATTAACCTTCTTTCCATCTTGCGCACACAAATCATTATGCGGGTATCCATTTGCAATAATTAAAGCCTTAAAAATCATGTCTGCAATGTTATCGTCACGCGATAATTTGTAGGTACTTGATTTTTTACCACGATATTTTCGACGATGATGTTTTTAAACTGTGAAGTTTTTTAAACTGCTTTATTTTCGACGATGATTTTTTAAACTGTGAAGTTTTTAAACTGCTTTATTTTCGACGACGATATTTTGTACCACGATGTTTTCTCTTTGCTTTATTTTCTTCCACGAAGTTTTATATCACGACATTTTCGCCTTGCGTTGTTTTCTCCGCGATATTTTCAGCCGTAACCCATCGATGCAAATAGTTGCCTGTTTCTTCGGCATAATTGGCCACATGGCAACAGTGGCATTACAGCAATGCAAGACAATCACTTCCAAATGGTACACGACCATGTGCTTGTCAGAAGTCACTGGAGAAATTTGAAAAAATCAAAAGAAGAGGCATATCATTTTTCATGACAATGCGAGCTCTCACACATCAGCCCAAACAAAGGAATTTTTGGCAGGCCAAAACATCGAATTGATGTATCACCAGCTGTACAGCCCTCATTTGGCATCCAATGACATTTTTTTTTTATTCTTGCACATCAAAAATAAATTATGTGGTCAGCGATTTGAGACACCCAAAGAAGCAGCTGATGCATTAAAAATACATATTTTGGAATTACCTCAATCAGAGTAGAAAAAGTGCTTCGAAAATTGGTTCCATTGCATGCAAAAGTATATTTATCTTCACGGAGAATATTTTGAAAAACAATAAAAGCAATTTCGATAATAAAGTTTTGTTTTTCATTATTAGGCCAGAAATATAAATAGAAATCCTTGTATAGCAAAACTTCAAGAGTATGAGAATAGACATAATAAACTGTATGCGGATCTGGATTGAAACTTTTTTGTATTTTTCATATTTCTTCCAGAATTTCTGCAAGTTTTGATGAAAAAAAATTACTAATCTAAATAATTTACATTCAGGATATTCGGATCCCCATTCCACATTTTCCCTTTTTTTTTTCAGTAATCTGAATGAAGGCTATGTGCGGCAGGTATTATACCCAACTCTAGGCGAACAAGGATATAAAAAGCATATTGGGACATCATATGGTGTAAATGGCCACGGAAGCAAGGAATATGAAGGGTTCTCTGATTCCAATCAAATTCTTTGACTGAACTGCTCAACAGAACTCTATTTGAGGCTGATACTATGATAAAAGTTTTAAAATTTTCATGAATCAGGAAAGAGGAAGTAGAGAATCTTATGAGCATGTGGTTTTACAGCTGATTAGTCATTTAGGAAAAGGAAAACTTTGATCTTAATCAATTTGTTTTACTTGAGCATAAATGCTCTCCATGTTCTGTCTTCCAAATAGGAATTTTGTGTTCTTTAAGTCTTTTGCAAGGCTTAAGATAGACATTCTTTATAAAAGTTATTGAATCTTTATTGGAACATTACATATCTTGCGCAAAATTACTGTGTTTTCATGGAACATTGAATAAAAAACATACAGTGGATGGACAAAAATATGGAAACACCTTGTGAAATGCATGTTTGAAAAGAAAGATTGATTTTAATGAAACATGTAGGTGGCGCTGGCATTTTTTACTACTGACGCCATCTATACAACTTCGTAAATGGGCTAACAGTTCAGTTGTTGTCGGAGTACTGTTATGTGAGGTTGTCATTGCATTATGTCAGAGTTAACAGACTTCGAACATGGGCAAATTGTTGGAGCACGTATGGTAGGTGCTTCCGTACGCAAGGTAGCCGAGGTGTTTAGTGTTTCAAGAGGTACTGTATCGAAGATTTATTCCGCATATTTAAAAAGCGGAAAAACATCATCTGCTGCTAAATCACAGCGCGGACGATATGTGTGTCCTGAGTGATCGTGACAGACGATCATTAAGGGCAATTGTGACGAAAAATAAGAAGAAGACCACAGCTGCAAAAGTTACTGCTGAAATGAATGTTGTGTTACCGAACCCTGTGAGTACCAAAACAATTAGAAGGGAGCTTCATAAACAGGGAATTGCTGGCCGTGCTGCAATTGAGAAGCCACTCATCAGTGATGCTAATGCCCGTAACAGGAAAAGGTGGTGTTTAAGTCATAAAGCCTGGACTATAGAGCAGTGGAAGCGAGTAATATGGTCTGACAAGTGTTCTTTCACATTGCTTCCCACTTCTGGCCGAGTTTACGTCTGGAGAATGCCATCTCAAGCCTATAAAACAGACTGCTTGTTGCCAAGAGTGAAACATGGCGGGGGTTCTGTTATGGTTTGGGCAGCCATATCGTGGTTCTCTGCTAGCCCCATGATAAGTGTGTCAGGGCACATGACTGCCAAGACTTATGTGAACATTTTGGCCGATCAAGTTCATCCCATGGTACAAACTTTGTTCCCCGATGGTGATGGTGTCTTCCAAGACGACAAAGCCCCTGTTCACACAGCTCACATTGTCCAGGACTGGTTTTCTGAGCACGAATATGAGTTGTCCCATCTTCCCTGGCCACCACAGTCACCAGACCTGAATATTATCGAACCTTTGTGGTCTACATTGCAACGGAAAGTGTGTTCTCGTTATCCACCGCCAACATCGTTATCTGAACTTGCCACCGTTTTGCAGGAAGAATGGTATAATATTCCCTTTGCAAACATACAGGAACTGTATTTATTCATTCCGAGAAGACTGCAAGCTGTTTTGGATGCCAACGGGTTTCCTACACCATATTAAGCAAAGAAACATGTTTTTTTAAAGGTGTTTCCATATTTTTGTCCAACCCCTGTAGGTTATGAAATTATCTTTATTTTCCATATTTTCCAGGAGAGCAAAACTTCTACAAAGTCTTTAATAAAACTCTCTGCACTCTTTTTATGTCAAAAAATTCCGTTGTATGGTAAGCGATAAATGTAAAGCTTCTGTAATGATGAATATTATTTTAAAAAGTACAAAATGGATGCAGCCAAATTAACAGTTGCAAGAAATACAGTTTATCCAAATCTGCAGACGGTACCATAAAAAAGAAAGCTGAACTTCTATACTCCACATGGATGTGGAAAACATTTGGATATGAGAAAAAAAGCTGAGAAAGTTGGAGCATAAGGATACTGAAGAAGCACTGCTGAAATGATTTACCAATCAGCCAATAACTGGACAATTGTTCAGACAAAAGCCAATAAATTTGCTAGACAGTTTGGACAGACCCGTGACAACATTAATCAGTATATTTTTCGTTATTAATTTTTCAATTTTAACTGGTTTTCGTATGATAAAACAATTTTCTTATCGGATCAAATATAGCAAACCAAACTTCTGGTCTCTTGAAGTTCATTATAGCAAGTTTCAATTATATATACAGAGAGAGAGATTTTAGTAAAAAAGTAATAAAAACAAAATAGAAAATCCATCTAGTAATATAATAGATACTTACTCTTAGTTTAAGCAAGAAAATTTTAATTATCATAAAAAAAGAATTTTCATTAATTAGGAGAAAAACAATATCCAGAATACCATTAACAAATGTGCCTTAATACTGAGTTTTAAAACATTCTGGATGATTGAATTTATCAGGTCTCAAGACTTATGAGCCATTACAAAGCATGGAAGAAATAAATAGAAATGAGGGGGCGTTTTAGCCAAATTTCATTGATAAGGTGATATTCTATAGGCACAAGAAGAAGTTTCTTACAAAAGCTTCACTATAAAATTGAGTAAAAGTTATTTGAACTGCTCTGTAAAACCACTTTAAAAAAATTACTCAGCTTGCATAAGTAATTTCTCTTGCAGTCAGTATTAATTATCCTAATTAGATTACAATTAGCAGAAGAATGATGCAGTTTTCATCTTGAATACTGTATTCTTCACAGTTTTCTGATACTGATTTGATTAAGAGTAGGTAATGCTTTGATTGCCTAACTGTATGCAAGTCAGCGAGTGGAAAGTGGATTTTTCATTACTTTGCATTAGTTTTTTTTTTTTTTTTTTGACAAAGAAAATTGGTTATTCTCACTATGCACAGAAAAAGCCATGAAAATCCCATGCAGCCAGACCTATAGCTGATATTTGGATTTAAGATGAACTGCTACTGTTCAATGATCTTTATCCACAAGCCTACCATTCAGCTGACGGCAAATAATGAAATAGACTTTTTTTTAAAAATTAAAAGCCAAAAAAAAAAAATAAATAAATAAATAAATAAATTAAAACAATTGATTTTTATTTTTCATGATGTAATTTTAGAACACATAATTCAGTTTGAAAACATGTCAAACATGATAGACCAGTTAAAAAATAAAAGCCCATTTTCAATTTATTATAATTTTAATTCAACACATAATTAAATTAAAAATTATATAAATTATCAGAAAAAATCAACACAACTGAGTTTAAAGAAAAATTCCTCTAATAATAGGAAAGACAAATAAATTTAAAGGCAAATTATATTTTAAAATTAAACCAAATTGAATTACCTAGCACATATTGAAATCTTATATATCAGTTTACTGTTTGCAGCAGCATTTTCTCTTTTGACTCGAATTTCTTTTTCTGAAATGAATATGAGATGTTATTAGTGTCAATGATATTCATGCCATAAAAGGGAAAAAAATGTTATTGTAGTAAATCAAATAAATATAGTATGAAACAAATTACTAGGTTCAAGAAAACAAGGTTAGATTTAAAAATATACAAAAAGCTATATAATTTTTATTTATAAACATCAAATTTCCATCCTCACTAAAAGTATTAGTAGCCAATCAAAGATATTAAAAAGTAATGCTAAAAATGCAAGGAAATTTTTTTACTTATCATTATTAAGCATCATTTAAAATGACAAGTGTTTTCATTCTAGTAAAATGTCCTTATCTTGTAAAGTCTTGATTTATATGCTGTCCTTTTTCCGAAATACCTTTATTTATTTTCATTTTCTTCGCAGAACTTTTGTAGTATGAAATTAAATATTTATGAAGCTTTTTCTCTAATTTTGCCCTTTTTCCAGTGGAAGAGGCATGTGTATTTAGAAAAAAATGTCTTTATTTGTTTGGCTAAATTTATTTCTGTGTTTTTTTAGGGCAATGACTACTTAATAAATTACAAGTGGAAACATTTTATTTTAATATCAATATATATATATGTATACATATATACATACATACATCATGTCCACAAAAATCTGTTGGAAACAGTAATAGTATTTCTTCTTCAAATTGTCGAGACTACCTTCATGGCAACTACTTTGATAAAAGAAAAAGAAAAAATGAGAAGAAAACAGTAATTGATTCGAGAGTTTTGGCAACAAAGAGAAACCAGACAATTTGAATTTTTTCCCAGCAGATAATTTGAATGTAATCCAGCATCAAGAGAATCATCAAAGGGGGAAGTCTTGAAATTTTTTGAGCCCTTATATTAATAGATTTAACTTAAATTGGAGTATATACTGGTTTTACTTAAAAGGCATGCAATAAATCCTTACACAGCCTTTATTTTTACAACAGTTGGTGGTGGTCCTTATACTTATATTCAGGAACATTTTGTACACATCTTAAAACTAAATCACATATGATAAAAATTGACTGAGATATTATAGAATTCATGTTTTAGAGAGACGAGTTTTAATGAATTTTTTTTACAATGACTAAATTATGATTCTAAAATAATAAAACTTCATGAGATTAATAGAACTTCTACAAATACTCCTTCAGCATACCAAATGTAACACAATTATAACTAAAAACATTAGTAAATCTTAAAAGAATATCATTGAATAGTATTTAAGGGGAAAATAAACTTCACATTATCCAAATTTATTTATTAATTAATCCCTAAATGCAAATTCAAAGTTACATCACATATTATAAATTTTGAAATTAAATATCTCGGTCAAATTTGGTCACATGAGAGACATTTTTTTTTTTTTTTTTTTTTTTTTTTTGTTTTATTCTTTAGTACTAGGTACAAAATTTTAGCACCTAGCACTAAAAAATAGTAAAAAATGTTCCTATAGTATAAAGACTGAAGGAACATGTAACAGATTTCATATTTTATGACAAATTATTTTCTTTTAAATTTAATAATACAAAAAATGAATCTTTGCATCATTTAAAACATTTTCTAACTGGAAATGTATGTCTAACCCAATAGCTGCAAAAATAAAAGCCAGGTAAGAACTTTTGCAGACATGGCGTATAAAGAAACCAGATGGTAATCAGAATTTAAAACATATATACATAATATATAACTGATTTAAAATACATATAAAGTTTCTGAAGTTTTAAATAGTTACTTAATTTCTGTTGTATCATGCATTTCATTTTTTTATTAACATGTTTACATATTTTTACTGTTTTTAAGTTTACACATATCTATAATTGTCAAACTAACTCTGAACAAAGTATGATGTCTTTCATATGAGGATTTCATTACTTCAAGGTCAAACAATGTTAAGAGCTCTGTTTTGACGTGCTTATCTCAATATTCATACAAAGTTTGTCAAAGGAAAGTGCTGTATGCTAATATTAAGTAATAATTAGATTAACACTAATGGAACCTAACAGAGGAATTAACACTACTGGAATTTATACAATGAGAATATTAAAGTAAAATGACCATTCTCTGTCAATGCCATAAAAAAATTATCTGTAGATAATCATGACAGAAATCTATAAAATTAAGGTAAATTTTGCTTTATTCACAGTTGTCAGCTTTCCTGCTTTTTCATCACATCTTTGAGTTTACCAGTAGATCAGTGAATCACCCAGCTTTTAATTTTCAGCCTTTACCAAACCAAGAAAAAATGTTTCCCAACAGTAAATGATAATTTTTGAATTAATGTAACATAAATTGGGCAAATTACATTCATCAACTCGTGGAGATTTTTGGCATAATTTCTCTTACTAAATTTTATTTGATATGAATTATTTTAATCTGTTGTTGACTTTGTATTTTATGAAGATTCAACCAATGTTTAATCGGTTATAATTTCAATTTTATTTTACATTATTGCATGACACATTACTAAGTTTAGCCACATACTAGTATGTATATTAATTATTAATTCTATTTTGGATATATGTAGTTTGATAAATAAAAGCTTTCCTCCTCTGTTTAAGTTTTTTACGCTTTTCAATATAAAAGTGAAAAAAAAAATAGAGAATGAACTTAGCCAAAGAACCTAAAATTTAGAATATTTAATTAAATATCAACATATTTTACATCAGAATACATGAACAGTTCAATAACCTGAATCATCAAACTAAATTTAAATCAGTTTGGAGCTCATTTGGCACAATGCTCCCTGTGGCATGAAAACTCCCAGAACTCTCTCCAGTTTTCAAAGAAATCCTGTTTTTCATATTTTAAGGTTGGCAGCTGTGTTTATTGATATTGATGAATAATATCAAATACTGCTCTCTTACAGTCATATAAACAGATCATGCATTTTGATTGCAATCATTCATTTTTATATAAAAAATAAAATCTTTTGTGATAAAAAAAAAACAAATACAGAAACAGAAATTAATTAAAAACAATTCAGGAATGATTTGCTGAGCAGTAAAATCGCTGAACACTGGTAGTTGTTCAGTCCGAGGTTTGAATCCCGTGAACGGGCTGGCTGCATGGGTGTTTTTGTGGTTTTCCCCATGTGTAACATGTATACGAGACAGTTTCCCTTAGAAAGTCCTCCACGAAGGCATCCATTCCCTTAGGCCTAGTGTGCTTTGTAATAAGTAAATAAACCAAACCAAAAAATCACAGAAGGTTTTTTAAGAGATTTAGAAAATTTTCTCAGTGACTAAAATAATTTTTAAACAATAAAATAACATGGAGAAAAAAGTGGGTTTTTTTTTTTATTTTTTTTAAATTTTGAATTAATTCTAAATAACATTTTGTTAAACGCAGTCATTAATTTTTAAGTGTAAATGGTACAAAAATGATTATATGAAAAAGAAATTATTTGTAGATTTTGACAGAAATATATTTGAATCAGTTTTCGTACAACTGCTAACGAAAAAGAATAGATTTTGCTTCCTTCAAAGAAGAAATATCATAATTTTGTTTTCAGTAATTACTATATAGGCATATTTTTGCTAATAAAAGTTTTCCCATTGTGTCATCATTAATTGGATCTAATCCCTAAAAATACAGTTAAATCCAATTAAATACAGATTTATTTGTATCTAGATTTAGTCCTTGTTTTATTAATAACACTGAAAATTCTTTTGCATTATTTTAGGCTGCTTAAAAATTCCATCAGCATATTTCATTTTCTAATTAAACTTCATTAAGTGCTATTCGATACATGTTTTATAATTTTATTCTAACTTTCTAAATATAAATTGCAAAACAGGGAGTAAAACTGATCAGCTGTAACAGCAATTTATTTGTTACAGTAGAAACATCTGCGATTTCAATAAATAAAATCATTTCCTTGTTGAGAGGATTAGAATGGATTTTTCGGATTATGGGTATCTTCCTAAGAGCAAAGATTGCTACATGCAGAATTTTTTAATGGAAACTAGGTTGTTTCTATGCTGTACTATAGGAAAAAACATTAATATCTCTTATACAGCCAACCCATTCCTTAGGATTTAATTCAGACTTAACTACCAGTGTTCAGTGGTCTTATCACTCAGCTGTTGGTGGCAACTACTATTGATTTGAAATTTATGTAGTATGAAATATATTCAAAATATATTCAGAAGTAGCTTCTAACATGAAATACAACTTCCCCAATCAACTAGAAATTCCAGTATTCATGTTTTTGGGTGCAAATAACCAAATATTAAGCCAGGATACACAAAAGTCATGAGAAATTTTAAGAATAAGAGAAAATCAGAAGAAATATGTGAGATAAGCAAAACTGCTTGAAGGCATTTTCTTTTTTAAAGTACCTGGAACTGCTGCAACAAGAGAAGCAGGTTGCCTATTTCGTGGGTCTCCTACAAAGACTGGCTCAGCATCTTCATCTTTATCTATAATAATCACAAGAATATAATTAAAAAATATATGAACAAACTTAATGCTAATATAATGTTATAGAATAATCATGTGCATTTTTATTGCTCACTATAGAATAAAATGCCATATAAATGAGTAATTCATATGATAAAAATTGCACAATGTTACATAATGAGAAATAAACATCCTCTCCAAAGAAAACATATTTCTCGTATTTAGCTTTGCTTATTTTTAACACTATTTGATAAAAACTATTTCTTTAATTTTACTGGCTCTTTAAAAACAAAGAATGCCACCATCAGAGATATCTTAGAACTAAAAAAGATTTTTAATAAGTTATTTCAATAATTTATAATCTGTTGTAAATATTTTGTTCTTTGTGAAAATTGAATATCCACAAAACAATTTAAATGCATATAATGTATTAGTATATTTTACTCATTACAGTATTAAAATAACCTAATTTTTTTTTAAACAAGAAGGAAAAACGTTTAGGAAGATCAGTTGCGTTTAGTTTTGGAAAATTATACCAAATTTTTAAGTACCTCAAATTAAAAGCAGTACTTATAGTAGAAGTAGTAGTAGTAGTAGAAGGAAATACAGAACAGGACAGCACAATTAAATTAAGACATTATAAACATATTAAAGTACTAAACAATATGTAAATAAAGCATAAAATAAAAATGATGAAAATATTTTTCTCTGAAGTATGCATTTATTCTTTTTATTCTTATTATCGCAAACACTTCTCTTTCAAAATTTAAATATTTAGTTCAGTTTTTAGGGTAGGAAATGTTCAGGAATGTTAGTTCTAATCCGAATCTAAAAATGTTAAATATATCAGAATAATCCCTGAAGCTGTTAATTTAAAGCATTTGTCCTTTTTAATTCAATGAAATTTTACTCAAAGCATCATAGAATGCAAAATTAAAGAGAGCATGGGAGCTTATCAAAACTTGTACATGTTATAGGACAACAAAGTTTTCCCCGAAAAAATTTAAAAAATAAAAGAATACATGTTAGTAAATTTACAGCCAAGCTTTATGAATTATATGATATACATGAACAGAATCTAAAGACAGAAAAATAACTAAATCAGCTTAATATAATGGGCTGAGCAAAAAGTAAAAAAAAAATCCTATACTTCTGAAGATAGTAGAAAATGACAGCAGCCCTCCTCACTTATGTAATATGCGGTATACTTAAATGCATCTATGTAAGTACAGTCAAAAGTCGTTAATTCGGACACCCATAATTCGGAATGATCTATAATCCGGACCTCAAAGCTAAAAACTTTCTGCGCATGCGCCGCGTTGACACATGCGCATAGGCGTTTACGCGTGCGCGTAAGACCTCTTACGACTGCGCATTTGGGTGTGCGCAAGCGCAGAATACGTTTTCGCGTGCGCGTTTTATGTATAAGGGACGGTGTAAGCTAAAATTATCTAATTATCTATTTCAGTTAATGTTGATGATTGCGTTGTTCCTTAATTTTCGAATTGGATCTGGCTTATTATTTTTTGCAGACTGTAAGAGCAATACTATAAAAGTAAACTTGAACTTTCGATTATGTCAAATAGAATTTTTGATTCTGGAGCTCCCAAAGGATCGTACAAAACGAAAGTTTGTTTCGATGTCCATCAAACAAAAAGTGTAATTGCTGCAAAAAATGGATAAAGACATGAAGAATGTGACAGAGAGGTTAGTGAAAACGAAAAAATTTTGATTGACAAGTTAGTCGGTATTCTCGGCACAGCAATTAATGGGACTTGAACAGCGGAACAGTAAGTGAACAAAAAATTATGTCTGTTTATAGAATTAAAGAGAAAGTATTATCACATAAAACGAAGCAACTTAAACAACTTACATTGAAAGAAATGTTTAATAAAGTAAACAAATAAATATTAAGCTTTTTTTGTAAATTTTGATACTCTTTAAATCATAATTGTTCTTTATTTCATAAATTACGGTTTCATATTTTTAATTTTAGAATTTCTGCATGCCATCTTACGCGATTTAAACTGATGATCTATAATCCGGAAAAATCGATAATCCGGAATCGCCGAAGTCCCGACGAGTCCGGATTAACGACTTTTGATTGTATACAAAAGCAGTAATATTCAGAATGAAACCTATAAATTAGCAATCAGGACTCCATAAATATTTCCTCCTTTTCCCGACTCGTACTTCTTGCATTCAAAAAATATTTGCACAGTTAGTTTAGTCACTTGTTCATTATAGTCAGTGTTCATTGTTTATGCATCCTTAAAATAGATTCAAAATGCAGAACCAAATGCCTTGCTAATAAATCTAAAAAACAAACATCTGTGATTATTTCAGAAAAAACTGAAAATAATATTTATGTATGAAAACAGGGAAATTACATCAACAGCACAGGACCTAAACTCATGGGTGAGGCAACAACTGCAGGTACAGACATGGTAATTTAATTTTTCAAAGTAAATTTCTCAAGCATCTGCCAGAAATAAGAAGCGGAATATTTGCTTATGCAAATATTTAATGTTGATGAACAAGTTCTGATTTAGAAGAGGATGCCAATACAGATATTTATCACAAAAGAAGACAAATTTATACCTGAATCCAAGATCATAAAAAATCAGATCACTGTCAAAATGAACTGCAATGCTTCAAGAACTTTAACCATTTAGTCAGACAACACTATTTCTCTTTACAACCATCCAGCTCTAAAGGCCAACGTTTAGCTGACAGAAAACACTTTTTAATTATAAGAGACATTTCAATTTGTGTATACAGTCAAAAGTCGTTAATTCGGACACCCATAATCCGGAATGATCTATAATCCGGACCTCAAAACTACAAACTTTCTGCGCATGCGCGTAAGACCTTTACGGCTGCGAATTAGCGTGTGCGCGTGCGCAAAATACGTTTACGAATGCGCGTTTAATGTATAACGGACGGTATAAGCTAAGCTAAAATTATCTAATTATCATCTATTTCAGTTAATGTTGCAGATTGCGTTGTTCCTTAATCTTCGAATTGGATCCGGCTTATTATTTTTTGCAGACTGTTAGAGCAATTTTATAAAAGTAAGCTTGAACTTTCGATTATGTCAAATAGAATTTCCGATTTATATTTGCTAATATGTAACGGATCTACAAAGCGAAAGAATGTTTCGGAGTCCATTAAACAAAAAGTGGAATTGCTGCAAAAAATGATGAATAAAGGCATATCCTTTGTTTATCTAAAGTTTAACGTTTATTTATCTATACTTTAACGTTTGTTTATCTAAACTTTGTTTATCTTTAACGCCCCCGCGCGGGCGCGCAATGAATTGGAAGTTGATCTGTCAGCACTATCCTTATCTTCAGGGCAGATGTTATTTTATTTGGCTTATAATTGCTTACTAAATGTAGTATTTCATTTCGATGTACTCAGTCTTTGATATGATTTAAATCAAATGCCTCGTCATTATAATTCTCTTCCGATAGGGAAGAAAGTGACAGAGGTTATTGAAAACGAAAATATTTCGATTGACAAATTAGTCGGTATTCTCGACACAGCAATTATATGACTTGAACAGCGGAACTTTGTAACTGAACAAGAAATTATGTCTGTTTATAGAATTAAAGAGAATGTATTATCACATAAAAAACGAAGCAACTTAAACAACTTACATTGAAAGAAATGTTTAATAAAGTAAACAAATAGATATTAAGCTTTTTTTTTTTCTTTTTTCTTTTTTTTTTGTAAATTTTCATACACTTTAGATCATAATTGTTTTTTATTTCGTAAATTACGGCTTCATATTTTTAATTTTATAATTTCTGCATGCCATTTTACCAGATTTAAACTGATGGTCTATAATCCGAAAAAATCGATAATCCGGAATCGCCGAAGTCCCGAACAGTCCGGATTAACGACTTTTGACTGTATATTTTTTCACATTTTGTAGTTTACAGTTGAGTAAATAGTGCTGCATGGTGTTTCATTTATAAAACAATATGAACACTGTGATGGGGGGAAAGAGAGAGATAGGAGAGGGACAGTTCTATATCTCCCGTTCTACTGAACCGATTGACAAAATTCAAATTTCTTTTTTCATGTCTCGAAAGTGCTACTTAGGATATATATTAGATTTATATATAGCATTGTTCTAACATAGGTATTTTGATACAAAATCAGACTTTTTCTAAAATAACAAACCAATTTTTTTCCATATTTCAATTTTACAACTCGTATTATACCTAGATATTTAATTTTATAAAATTTGGTGCCAAATTTGCGGAGAAATTAAAAAATATATAAATTTTTTCAGTTTGCACCAAGAACAATTCCCTTGGTGAATTTCATTATATATGCCAACCTATTTTCCTTACCTTTCCATTATGCTGGAACGGAAAAAAAAGACACCTCTTTCCTATCTTTTTTATATCGTAGATGAGTGGTAAAAAAAGTCACATCGTTCTTACATTCAAATAATTTTAACAAAGTGCATAAACCACATTTTCGTTATTATCACTTTCAAAAAATATGCCAAATTTCAAAATGCATCAATATATAAATTCACGTATATCTTCAAAAATTCTGAATAAAAAGTTCTAATTTTTGCAGATATGCTTAAAAATATATCTACTTAAGATGATTGTAAAAATTTTATAGGTTATAATTCCAAATTTTTTTCGAAAATTTAGAAAAATTATTTAAAAATACAAATTTAAAAAATAAATCTTAAAAAATGGGTGAATTTTATTTGGAATGAGCCTAAATTTCAAACTGTGTAAGAAGGAATCAAATAAGTTTAATAAAAAAAGAGATATTAATGAATACATACTAAATTAAATTAACATTGAGCAGCTAAACTTTTGAGAGCTAATTTTTTAAAAACTACTTGTGTGATCTTTACAAAACTTGGTAGTTTGGTGTAATTTGATCAGTAGAATCGAAATATGGAAAAAAATTAGCATGTCATTTCAGAAAAAGTTCGCTTTTGTGTAAAAATACCTACATTAGGACAGTGGTATATATAAATCCAATACATATCTTAAGTCACGCTTTTGAGACATGAAAAATGCAAGTTGAATTTCATCAATTGGCCCAGTTGTTCTACGGCCAGCCATAGAACAGGAGATGTAAAACTGTCCCCCTTTTTTTTGTGCAGTGTACATACACACACATAATAATTCAGGAGGTTATCGTATGCTTTCTTTTAGAAAATATATGAGGAATACAAATTCACAATGCTTCAATAATATACTAAAGAAGAAGGTAAATAGTGCAGCCATAGGACATAACAGTGCACCAGATTACTAAATCCTTAAGACTATCAAGTCCGTAAGACTTAACTAAACTTAATAGTGTGCCAGAGCTCCTAAGGCTGTTCTGGTACCGGTTTTGAGTGTATGAGAAAAACAAATCTGCTATTCTTAATTCAAATAGCACTACATGTTATCTTTTGGCCTATCAGTATCATTAACAAAATCTATTTTTAGCATATCGAAAGAGATTTTTGTTAAATGTTTCCTCGTCAACATTTCTTAATGCATTTAACTTAAATCTGTAATCATTGCCAAACATAATGTCAACATAAAAGGTTACCATACTCTTTGTTATTAAATTACTAATATAAAAATTTTTTTGGTCATTGATGCATGAGTCATTACTCAAGTTGTGATGTGTTGATAAACATACGGTGATGAAAGCAAAATACAATAATGATTCATCAGGTTGGCATCAGAGACATAAAATATTGGTAGGTGTAAAATCAACAATGTTTGTATGGAGAATGTTTCGGCTTGAGATGTATGCCAAGCAAATATGCAGCTACAGAGCCAAATTATTGATCACACAAATTTATAAATTATTGCTTCTTCAATAACAATGTATTTATTTAGTGCTGAAGTGAAATTAAGAATCGGATCTCTACATGTTTTATTATGAGAGCAAAAAATCAAATGCACACGCATAAAGTGTATATATATAAAATAAATTTTAAAAATAAAAGCTTGTTGGTGGTTTTGAGGTCGGGACTACCTTCTACAATTTTAAAACATGTCTCCATGCTAAGGTAATTAATGGATTAAAAAAATGTTAAGCCAAATGCTTACAGATAGAAATGGAATTTTCTTTCATTAAAGTAAGAGGACTGATTCCCCTTCTTATATAACAAGGGATCTCCTTTCCTAAATTGCAAGAGGATTTTCCCTTTCTTGAGGAAATCAATTCCCCCCACCCCAATTTACAACAGAAACTTACTATAAAGGGAATTCTCTCTTTAACAGAATAGTTGCTGTTGGTCAATGTTTCCAACTCGGAACATAGAAGTTTAACAAATTATAGCAAATGCATTTCTTATTAATGTTATCATATTTTATGCTTATTTAGTAAAATAAACCTTTTAACTACATCAGCTGATTTTTAGAAATATTGGATAATTTTCCAATTTTATATGAATTTTTAAATTGTGCCCTATGAAAAAGGAAAACAAATGTCATTTTTCTCAATTTCTATATAATGCTTGTTTTATATCCAAAACCTGATTTTTATATTAAAAAAAATGAGGCCATTTTCATTTATAAAATGACAATTTTCTCAAGGCAATGTGAATGAAACTTTACTTTAAATGTATGTAGGTCAGTCAGAAAGTTTATTGCGTGTAAATATGTTCTGTCTAAGATTATTTGGATGACACTGTGTGGAACACTTCAGACATGTACCTTTATCACGTGACGTAGAGGCTTACCTGAGGCAAGTTTAGTTTTTCTGATAATCAGTCACAAACATGTCTTGACAGCTGCGAATAGAGTCCAAATTGGGTGATTCGTTTTTTGTGGGCGAAAAGGTGCAACTGCACTGAAAGTTATGGGCAGTTTATGGCAGAAATTTATGGTGAAAATGCAATGTTGCATCAAGCTATCACGAAATGGTGCAACATGTTTGAGAATGGACGTACAGATATTGTCAACGCTGAGCACAAGGGAAGACCATCAACTGCAATAAATTTGGAAATCGCTCCTCACGTGAATGAATGCATTCTTGCAAACAGACGCATAATGATAGACGAAATCTCAAATGAACTGGATATTTCTCATGGAAGTGTGCATAAAATTATTGCCGATCACCTTAAATTTCGGAAAGTTTGTGCTCGATACATGCCACATCTATTGATGGAGAAACATAAAGGAAAGCATTTTGAAAGTGCATTTGCATTTCTGCGATGTTACCAAATGGAAGAAAATAAGTTCTTGGACAAAATTGTGACTAAAGATGAAACTTGGATTTACCACTTCTCACCTGAAACGAGACACAGCTCATTTGAGTGGAAACATTGCAGTTCCCTGACACGAACAAAGGATTGAACTGTTCCATCTGCAAGAAAGGTGACGATGAGGCTGTTTTTCGACAGAGAAGGTGGGGTGCAAGCAGAGTTCATGTTAAAGGGTGCCACAATTAATGCACCTCTTTATTGTGAAACACTAAAACAATTGCGAGAATTACTTAAAAATCAAAAGTAAACTGTCAAATGGCAGTGTGTTCCTGCATGACAGTGCTAGCCACATGCAGCAAAAACAAACGTGCAAACTTCTGAAAAAGTTTCGGTGGAAAGTGTGGAATCACCCTCCTTATAGCCCAGACCTTTCACGTCCTGACTTCCATGTGTTTGGTCCCATGAAACAAGAACGTTCAAAGCGACGGTACCATTCGGATGCCGAAGTGAAAGCTGCAGCCCAACAATAGTTATGTTATTGGACATTGGACGGGATTTCTTTGCAGCAGGCATCAAAAAATGTGTACGATGCCTCGACAAATGCTTAAATAACGAAAGTAATTGCGTTGAAAAGTAGATTTTGAATGGAACTTTAAGACATAATAAAGTTATTGTAAAATTTTGCTCCTGTTTTGTTTTCTTCGGCAGCGCAACTAACTTTTTGACTGACCCTCATATTTCCAATTTGATGTTTTCAATTGGGAACATTGGCCTGTAAAAGGTTTAACAGAGAAACTAATTACAATAATCAAATTAATCTGAATTTATGCATATATTATGATATTTAAAGAATAAACAAGCTCTCTTATAGTGATATTATAATTACCTAGAGCTTGACCCATGCCTCTAATTAAATCTGCTTCAAGAAGATTAAATACATCATTGTTTGATGGAACCAAGGGATCTAATTTACCAAGCTGTGGATCAAGAGGATCTGCTTCTTTGGCTTCTCCAGTTGCTTCTGTTACATTTACAGTCACATCAAACTTAAACAGAAACACTTAGTTTATTATACATTCAATATGAAAAACTTAGTCATTTCATATTTGGTTTACAAAAAATAATGCTCTGTAATCTCATATCAGTTAAGAAAGGGACTGAATTAAAATTGAAATCTAAACTGAGAGATGGACAAATTTATATTAAAAAAATTAACACAGCAGGTTAAATTTCAATTGCTTTTATAAAAGTCAATATGCTAGAGATGTTATGATATTAGGCAGAGCAAAAACCTTGTGTTTGACTTAAATTTTAATCAACACAGTCATTTTGAAGGTAGACAAATACATGCTACTAAATAATACTCTTCATGAGGAACAAAGAAATCTGCAACACAGAGAAAGCCACAGTTGTATTTATACCCAGGAGGAGTAAAATGAATGAGAAGATAGAGCCATTTGTTTGCAGAAATAATACTGTAAACTGAAAAATTAAGTTAAAAGTATTTTAAAAGCATTAGGAAGGGCTGGATTAAAATTAAAGTCATTCGCTAAACAAGATAAATTTTTGTGAATGTGAAAACTTCAAGAAAATCCAATAATTTCTGCAGACCTAAAGTCAAAATTGGGATTAGATTTTCAGCTATGATTAGCTTTCGAAAACTTGTTAATTTCATCTTTTCAGGCATAAGATTCATGTTCCTTGATGTGAAACTTCAACACTCTTTTAGCTTGGCCAACATATTTCAAACTACACTGACAAGATATGCTATAAATTTCCCAAGAATTACTACCAGAAACAGAATCTTTAAAGAATTGAACGATGGATTTTATTAACAGAAGAGAAAATAACTTGAATATTGATGGAGAACATGTGCAATTTTGCAATTGAAACAAGGATGAAATAGAAGCATGACAAGGTTATTAACATTATTTCTGACAGCAGAATGTTTTCCTTAATAGCGAAATGATTATTTTATAAAGGTTTTATCAATAATCACAGGAGCAAATCTTTGTTCAATAGCAACTGGTCTCAAATAATTGAGTTCATTATCAAGCCAAGATTCTGAAGAACAAAATTTGAAAGTGCAAAATACATAATAGTAAAAAGAAGTCATTTCTTGTTTAGCCATGTGACATGACTTAGCATCGGGAGGCAAACAGTCAGAAAAGGATTTATTATAAGCAGCAATTCTGAAATCAAATATTCATTGCAGATTATAAGAATATCAGGGAAAGGAAGTGTATTGTTTCAATTTCAAAAGTGAACTGTATAGCTGAATCAATCGAGTTTATAATAGATAAAAATCTGAGATAAATCTCCTTTATTATCATCAGAAAGTGTTGTCTACACAGCAAATACACAGATGAGAAGATAAGTTCCCAAATAATTTGACCTCAAAATAGTGTACATAAATGTCAGGAAGTACAATATTGGAGACGTTATTCATAGCTAATCCTTCAATTTTGTGATAATATTCATTCTGGAAAACAATATAGACTTGACTCAGAGACTTTAGTAACAGAAAATAACTCTTAATTTCAGTACAGGTGAAATGGAGTTCTCAAAGCCTAGTTTCAAGACATTTTAGTGTTCCTTTTACTGAAACATTATTAAATAGTGATTTAACATCAAAAGAAATCATAATGGAGTACAGGAAAGAAATATCTGGGTTTATCGATGACTTCAAAAGAATTTTTTACAATGTTAATATTGTTATAAAGTAAACAAGAAAATAAGGAAACTAAATATTTGGCTAAATTATATGATGCAGTTCCTGCATTGGAAACTATATGTTGAAAAGGAATTCCAATTATATGGACTTTTGAGGAGAGCATAAAACACGGTTCAGTTAGCAGTAGGTGAAATGAGGGATTTTGAAAACTGAACTGGTAGTATATAAGAAGATTTAACAGCTGTTTTAGCTTTTATGAGGTAAGAAGTAGGGATCGCTAACAATTTAGGGATCAAGTAGTACGAGCCTTCACTAATTTGTTTCAGAACTCCATCATTTGTATGCGAGTCTGTCCATACTCATCAGCTTTGGAAATTAGATTGAATTTCATGTAAGGCCTTCCTTTCCTTTTGGTAATATTAAAAACAGACAATTTATTATTAAACTTCACATCATGAGCAATTAAAAGTGGATTCTATCTTTCTGTGTTTCTGAAATTTTAGAAAATTTAAAAGCTTTTTCAATAGGGACAATGATTTCAGGAACTAAAGGTTTAGATGTCGTTGAAAAGTTGAAGTTATATTTCTAGATGCACAAGATTGTTGCTTGATTAATTTTATGGTTTACTTGGCATGTTTCTCTTCTGTCTTGAAGCTAGATTTTGAATCTATATAATGAAGAAGGTAAAAAATATTTGATTTGACCATGCATAAAGAAATGCAATAAATGTTTCATTCAAAAGCAACCAAGCAGATGAAACATTAACCTTCCAATCTGGAATGTTAATTTGGTTGTTTAAGTGGGGGAAAAAAGCCAATATAACATAATGAACAAGAGTGACATCAATTAACTGATGAATCCATAGAGAAAATACAGGGAAAACAATCACAAATACAGCATTTATTACAGAAGAAGACAAGTTTTCTGGATTAGAGTGGATTATTTGATTACAGCATTTGATTGTTATTTTACTTTTATGGCTGCACTGGGAATCATTTAACTCTCATGAAATCTGCAATCTGTGCATTGGAATTATCACTCATATTGTTTGCATACAGACTGTTAGTAATTGCTTACTATTTAATTACATATATTTACTTACAAGCAAAGTGCACAACTGAATATCAGTTTGGCATATAAACTGCAGTTATTTAAAATTATGAGATTCTGGTTCAGCGAGGTAAATTTTATTGACAGACTATATTGGTACAGTAAAAGCTCAGGGGTTGCTGAATTATGGATACACGAAAATTTCCAATAATTGAGGGTATTAAAAAAATGCAATTCATGGTAGAAAAGCCAAATGAACGAAAGAAAAAAAAATGAGTTTAAAATTATAAAAAGAGACATTTTATTTGTTATCAAATGCCTAGATTTAAATGTGAGATTTTGAAAGACAAGGGGCATTTGAAAGAAAGGAATATTCAGACATAAATGAAAAAGTAAAATTTAATATTCAATTACAAAACTCTGCTGGTCATGAAAATTGGCAGCAATGTCACGAAATTTATGCCAGTCTTTTCAGCAGAAGTTTGAAGGAACAGATTTCTCTTTACTCAGTTAATCAACTTATATAAGTTACGGTCATGATGTATAAAAAAACTTAAATCATTTGCCATAATGTTTCACATTGCTCAGCTCATGTTTATACATTTTCACTTAAGTCGCATTTTTCTTGATGCCAGGATAAGCTTGAAAATACTCTACTGTATGCTATTCCATTTAAGACAAATCCCAAGTTTTAATCATTTTTTTGCCAAATGCTATTGAAAAACAGATAAATAGCAATCAACTTAGATCATTTTGTACAAAAATTAAACCAGCTTATCATAAATTAACAGGATGCACAAAAACAGAAAGCAATACATCATGTTTATATATTATTGGTGCTAAATCACACTGTTAGGCAACACTTTTGTGGTTTGATTCGAATCACAGTCTTATTCATCTTTAGAATGCAGTTAAAAATAGCTTATTTGCTTAGTTTACATTGTAAAAAGTTTTCAAATTAAAAAAAAATATTCCAGTTATTTGAGCCTTCTGGTTAGTTGAATGTTAGATAGCCAGGGTTTTTACTGTACAGTCAAAAGTCGTTAATTCGGACACCCATAATCCGGACCTCAAAGCTAAAATCTCTTTCTGCGCATGCGCCGCGTTGACGTATGCGCATAGGCGTTTACGCGTGCGTGCAAGACCTTTACGACTGCGCATATGTGTCTGCGCGAGCGCAGAATACGTTTTCTCGTCCGCGTTTAATGTATAAAGGACGGTATAAGCTAAAATTATGTAATTATCTATTTCAGTTAATGTTGATGATTGTGTTGTTCCTTAATCTTCGAATTGGATCCGGCTTATTATTTTTTGCAGACTGTAAGAGCAATTTTATAAAAGTAAGCTTGAACTTTTGATTATGTCAAAAAAAGAATTTCCGATGCTGGAGCTCCCAAAGGATCTACAAAACGAAAGTATGTTTCAATGTCCATCAAACAAAAAGTGGAATTGCTACAAAAAATGGATAAAGACATATCCTTTGTTTATCTAACCGTTCCGAAATCTGTTTATCAATTTCACGCTGCTCTGCGTGGGAGGGGGGGGGAATGTCGTGGCGCGCAATGAACTGGAAGTTGATCTGTCAGCACTATCCTTATCTTCAGAGCAGATGTTTTGATTTTATTCGGCTTTTAATTCCTTACTAAATGTAGTATTTTATCTCGATGTGCTCCATCTTTGATATGATTTAAATCAAATTCCTCGTCATTATAAATATCACGAATACAAATCAAATAGTTTTCTGGTTGCAATTTTCTAATTTCGGCTATATGTAATGTATGCTTTATGCATGCACGCGTTGGAAGAAATGTTTAATAAAGTAAACAAATAAATATTAAGCTTCATTTTTTGTAAATTTTGATACCCTTTAGATCATAATTGCTCATTATTTTATAAATTACGGTTTCATATTTTTAATTTTATAATTTCTGCATGCCATGTTACCAGATTTAAACTGATGATCTATAATCCGGAAAAATCGATAATCCGGAATCGTCGAAGTCCCGACGACTCCGGATTAAAGACTTTTGACTGTATGTTGATACTTCTGTTCATTACAACTAAATTTTGTTATATTTAGTCCATATGAAATATGTATTAGTTGTGAATGTTAATGGAAAAAAAGGCATCTTTCAACAATATAATGATCTTCAGAATTATTCCCATTCAGCATTTCATATTGCCTATTTAATAAATATGTACTGACAAGAAGAATATACATCTTTTTATATAAATTTACAAGTATAAGAGCAGACAATGACTGAAAATAAATATATTGGTGTCGGTAAGAACCAATATGCTTATTAGTACAATGAATGAAAT